GTCACTACTGGAATGGAAATACAGCATTTCTCTAATGCACTTTAAAATAAAGATGTCACATTTAAACCTTTAAAAATACGCATCCACAGATGACCTAACTTCATCTTTTTTCTCTCAGCACAGCACATCTCACCCTTTTGGAAAACACCTCTCTTCAATAATAATAATATTCATGAGAGCAACAATAATAACTAAAGATGACCCCCACATAGGGCTTTCTCTGCCAGCCATTGCTCTGAGTGCTTTTACATACATTAGCTAATGTGATCCTAATGGCAGCCATATGAGGAGGTAATGTTATTACCCTCCACTTTACAGATCGGGACACTGAGGCACAGAGAGGTTTAGCAACATCCTCCAGGCCACACAGTTTCTATGCGGTAGAGCCAGGTTGGAACCCAGCCGGCCTCGCCCTAAAACCTGGCCTTTTCACCATTTCATTATACTGTCTCTGCCAACGCTCCTTCCTCCAGGGCCTCTGGCAGCTTTGGGCAGGTGCTTAACTAGACTCCTCGAGGAAGAAAGGGGTCCAGTTCTATGGATTGGAAATCCCCTGTCTTAAGAGCTTGGCTCTCCGAGTCCTGCAGCGTCTTCCCTGCAGTCACCTTCTCTTCTCCTGAGGGGGCTCGTGGGCTTCCCCAGGCCTCGCCCCTCTCCCGGTGGGAAGGGGTCTCTCGGGGCACACAGGCCAGTCTCAGCCATTGTCTCTTGCTTGCTTTCTCTCTTTCTCTCTCTCTCTCTCTCTTTCTTGCTCTCCCGTGTCTCTGCTCCATCTCCTTTTGTCTTGGACTGATCCCCTGTGATGAGTTGTGCCCTGGAAAGCTGCAGTGTGACACTTCTCCCCTTTTGTGTTCCTGATGATGGCTTTTCCCCAGAGGCTTTTAAAAGAGAAGGAGGGAGTGACAAGAGCGCTGTGTGCCCTGGCGGTGGCATCCAGTGACAGAGCCTGGCGGTCGGGCTAAAGCTTCGAGCGAGTCCTTGATCTTGTGGGGTCTCTTTCCGCGTGTACATGTGTGCAGGTGTGCACACACACACACACACACGCACACACTGCGTGTTTGGAACAGGCTGTGATATGACTGAAGGATTGGGCCCTCTGGCTGATTTGCTACGGGGTTCTTATTGTAGGGTCCCCTGACAGCCTTACGGTACTGGTTTCCTACAGCCACTGTAACAAACAAAAACAAAGTTAGTGGCTCAAAACAACACAGATTTATTCTCCTATAGCTCTGGAGGCCAGAAGTCCTAAAACCAAGGTGTCGGCAGGGCTGTGCTCCTTCTGGAGGCTCAACGGGGGGATCTGTTCCCTTGCCTTTTCCAGCTTCTAGAGGCTGCCCTCATTCCTTGGCTTGTGGCTCCTTCCTCCATCTTCAAGGCCAGCAACATAGTATCTTCACCTGTCTTTCTCTCAGTCCTACACTCACTCCATCCCACCTCTCGTCCATGACCCTCCTGCCTCCCTTTTCACTTATAAGCTCCCTTGTGATGACTTTGGACCCACCCAGATAACTCACGGGAGTCTCTCCATCTCAAGATCCTTAACTTAGTCGCATCTATAGAGTCCTGTTTGCCACACAAGGTGACATATTCGCCACTCTGGGGACTAGATCATGGACATCTTTTGGGGCCATTATTCCGCCTACCACTCTTGTTAACTGAAATGGGAACATTCTCACTTTCTGGGCTGTCTCATACCCGTCTCCCTGGGAGAGAGCAGAGCACAATAGGCCCTGAAACAAACTGTTTAGACTCACACCCAGCCTCCCCCCTCTTCCTAGCTGTGTTACCTTGGGTAAATCACCTGACCTCTCTGTGCCTAATTTCCTCATCTCTAAGAAGGGCAAATAATGTACCACAACTTCATTGCCCTGTTATAAGTCATGAGTAGTCCTGGGGAGATAAAGCATGCCACCTGGGGAATAGTAAGCGCCAAAAATAAACGGGAGAGACAATTATAATTAGGAGTGCCATGTAGCATACAAGTTATAAACTCAGAGGGCCTTGGTGCAAATCCCAGTGCTACCATTTATGAACCAAATGGCCTCGGGCTAGTTGCTTTAGGCATCAGAGTCTGTTTTCTCATTTGTAAAATGCAAATGAAACTATTGCCATCTTAACACATAGAACCGCTGCGAGGATGAAATAATAATGCGGTGCGCATACTCGAACATAGTGGGAAGCTTTGGTTGTTAATAGTTATCGCCACCGTCATCATTGCCTGTCTTTCCTGGAGGTGATGGAGAGTCTTAATGGGCTGCCTCTGGCCTCAGCAGGACAAGGACAGGACAGGGCAGCTTGCTGAATCCAGGGCGCTGAGAAATCCCTTTGCAGTGCTCCGTCTTGGAGAGGATCAGAGCCCGGCCGGGCTCAGCCTGGAGGTGTCTGGTCTCGAGGCTTCTCTCTGCTGCAGGGCTGTCGAGCTTACCATGGCTGCTGGTTCTTTGAACTCCCCAGGAGCTCTCAGAATGGAAGAGGCGTTTGGAGATGGGGACCAGAGAGGTGGGAAGTGTGGGGGCAAAGTGCCCTGAGAAGGCAGGGCGAGTTCCTCGATGGTGTGGCCACCAGGGACAGTGCACAGCTCTGGTTTCAACCGTATTATTATTTTTTAATTTTGCTGCAAAGTCCTATTTCAATGAAGGCTTGGGCAGATGCCCAGTATGCAAAACAGCTAAAAGCCAACTGCTCTGGTTGAAACCAGGGTATGTGGGGGGCAACTCAGGCCTCCTTTTCACTTCCATGGGGGCCTCTGGGGGGCCCAGGTTGAGAAAAAACTAGAAGGGTGGCAAAAGCACACAGGCTTTGGAGTCACACAGACCCAGAATTTGCATCCCTGTCTGTGCCACTCCCTGGCTGTGTGAGCTTTGGCATTTTACTTTGCCTGTCTGAGCCTCAGTCTTCTCATCTGAAAATGGGACAATAAGAGCACCCACCTCACGTAGTTGGGAAGACAGGAGATGGTCACTGTAAAGTGCTTAGCACAGTGCCCGACACACGGTAGGTGTCTAGGCATTTAGCAGGTGGTAGCTATTTTCACTCCCTAGGGGAGATCTGAATTCATGACAGACCCTCCCAGAACATGTGCCTAATGCCCACAGAAGCCATGACAAGCTGGGTAGACATTCCTTGGGACTGAGAGCCCAAAGGCCTATCTTTGGGGCTCCTTGGGTTCTGATTCTGCCACCAGCATCCTGTGACTTTAGTCCCTCTCTGGGCTTCTTGCCTCACTCTTCATATGTTTACTGAGGGTCAACTATGTGCCAGGCACTGTCCTAGGCATTAGAACGCAGGCCCTGGCATCTGAAAGGCAGAGTTCCAGATTCAACTCTGCCACTTCCTAGTGCTTTATTACGGGCGAGTCACTGGCCCTCTCTGAGCCTCAGTTTCTCTGTGCGTAAAGTGAGGGGATTGAACTTATGTCATAGGGTCTCCCCAGAAAAGATTGAATGAGATCCTGCCAAAAAATTGTAGAATGCCTTTGAACTTGGCTCTGAGAGAGAGACATTCTGAGGATGAGCTTTGGGATCATATAACCCTGGGTTTGAATCCTGTGTCTGCCACCTACTGTGTAAGATTATGCAAGGGACTTAATTTCTTGAGTCTCAGCTTCCTCGTCTGTAAAGTTGGGATGATAATAGTACCCTCAAAGGGTCATGATGAGGATTCAAGGAGAGGATACCTGTAAACTTCCTAGCAGAATGGCTGGCACATAGTCATTTCTCAATAAATGGTAGCTGCCATCATCACCACCATCTCCATCATCATCACCATCATCATCATCATGATCATCATCTATAACGTGAGCTCTAAATGCTCTCTAAGATCCTACTTTTCAAGGGAAGAATTAAGTGACAATATGGTAGCTCACCCTGGGCCATCTCAGTGAGACACTTTGGAGGAGGGGCCCCAGTAGAGAGAGTTCTCCTTCATTTTGCAGAGAAGCTGTAAACAGATCCCGATCCCCTGGAGATTTCCTGTTCTTTCCCCACAGTCAGCAAGAATAGGACCCTTGAGATCTGGCACACTGGAAGCCATGGGAATCCATTTCTTTTTGTGTGTTTCTCCTTTTAATGACTTTGTTTTCGTGTCCATATAGTGATTTCACTTCAGAAGGCCAGCATGGATCTTTTGAGGATGGGCCTTTGGCCAAAGCTCACTTGTCTGGTTTAGACCTCCTAGAACCTCCCAACTCATCCTGCTCAAACCACGTGCTGAAAGGTGAGGCTGGCACATTCCACCCTGGGGTGGCTGTCAACTCCTTTCTCCCTCTGTCAAAACATTTGAATTGTAGGAGGGGTTGTGGATCATGGGATCATAGCACCCTGCAATTTGAGTGCTCTTAATTGTTGCTTTTTAACCTCTTGCTTCCTCTCTTTAGGAAAATCGGGTAACCACATCCTCATTTTACAGATGGGACTTGGGGACATTAAACGTCTTTTCCAAGGTTGTGCTGGGGCTGGACTTGGTTCCCAGAAACTTGTCAGGTCCTTATTCAATGAAGCCATCCTACCCCTTAGAAATTTCTGTTTCCTAAGCCTCATCTTTCCTGCTCTGAATTCCGAGGCACCCAAGGTCCAGGTCAGAAATCTGCAGCAATGTGAATGAGGACAGGTCAGCTGGGCTGATGTGGGGGGGAAAACCTCTTGGAGGCTCCCACACTGGGGTCAAACTCTTCTCTGAGCCGAGAGGAGTAGTGAAGGTCTGGGGGCGTGTGTGGGGAAGGTGCTTCGAAGTCACAGCTCCTTTGCTCTGAGAGCGAGCGACAATATTAGAACAAGTGTGGGGTAGGTAGGCTGTCACTGATTTCACTGTGTGGTGTCGAGAAGTCCCGTCCCCCACTTCCGTGGACTCCCCCTCTCTGCTCTAAGCATCCAATAACTTAACTTCGCTGCCTGAGGCTTCGCTTCCCGCCGGTCCCCGCCTCCCCGCATCTTAGCGCTGTCCGCGGTGCTGATCGCCAATCTCCTGATTGCCGTTTCCACCAGCTGGGATCTCTGGTGCGCCCAACCTCTCCGCCCGGCCTCCCACCTCTCCTTCTCCAGGCACCTCATGCATAAATCACGGGGCGGGGGGGAGGCAGGCTTGGTTCCCCCTGCGCCGGGAAGCTGCTGACCCCTCCCTCGCTCACACAGGGTTTTGCAGCAGTGGTGGCAGCCGCCACTGATTCGGGCACTGGGGAGGCAATTGATTCGTCTACCGCTAGCAGCCCGGAGTTGCCTACGCGGACGCGGACGACAGAGAGAAAGAGAGAGAGAGAGAGAGAGAGAGAGAGAGGGAGGGAGGGAGAGGCTCACAGAGCGAAAACCTTCTTCCATGTGGAAGGCAGTCTGAGGAAGCCACTGTCTTTGCCTTGTCCACCGACGGGTTTCAGTTTTCTCCTCTTCTAGCAGTGGTATTTCTTTTCATCTTGGTCCTGCACAATTTAGGGGTAGTTGTGTGTGTATGGGGGGGGGGGGGGGAAAGAGGGAGAGAGAAAGAGTGCTCGTGCTTTGATTTTATTTTGGGAAGAGTAGGAGAGTCAAATGAACAATTTTTTTTCAGGCACCTCCACCGAGCTTTCAAACCAAGTCATTGGGAGTTAGCATCTTCCTACCCAGCAGGGAAGGGAGGAGTTGGCAAGAATTCAGCTCGCCCATTCCACCTGAAATCCGCTGGTGTTGTGGTAAGTGATATTCTTCTCAGTTGCGCAAATGAGTTAGGGGTATTGGAATCCCAGTTGCGATGATGTGTGTACATGAGCCGATGGGATGGAGGGGAGGTGGGAGGGGAGGGGTATGGAGGAATAGCCATGTTATTTGCCCACGTTCTGCAGTGTTTTATTGCCTAAATGGTACCCCAAAGCCAGATGAGATTTCAGCTCAGTGCCCAAGGAGGGGGTAAGAGATGCTCATATTTTAGGCAATGGAATAAAATTTGTGGCTTCTGCCCAGTTTGCCCTCTTCCTTGCAGCAGAAGCTGGGAAAGTAGCCGGCAGTTCTCTGAGAGAGTTAACCCTTTGTGGTGCTGGCCAGCCTGGCATAGAGGGTCCCTGTGTGTTCTGATCTAGCGAGTGGGCACCTTGGCCCTGGATGGGAAAGGGTCACCCGAGGCTGGAAGGTCACCTAGGCACACCAGGTGAAGCTTGTATAGGACAGGGCTTGGATGGTACCATCTTCCAGGGAGGTAAAGGAATAATTTAATTGTGGTGTTTTTTGCAAGCTTGGCTGTTCTAAGCTTCCTGGGAGTCATGAAAGGACCACAGTTTGCTTGGCGTGAGTGGTCAGGCAGGCCAGAGGGGAGCAGCCAGCTGTCTGCTGAGCAGACGGTGTTTTATTTTCACAGGTGGTGTAACCTGTAAGTTCAGGTATGGGGGAGTATATCCTGGCATCCTTGAGCCTGTCTCTGAGTAGGAAAAGAAGGGAACAGGGTTTGTTCAGATTCTGGGGAAGGGCTCCAGCTTCAGATCCGTTCCAGGGCAGGCCATGCTCCACTCTAGCTTCTGTTTCTGAGATCCTGATGGAATAAGCCTGCACCAACCTGTTAGTGAGGAGGAAGTGGAGGTCTTTGTGACCGAATCCAGAAACCCACATTTAATTTTAAAATGCCTTTGCTGCTAATCTGTGACCCATCAAAAGGGGATTTCTCTTTGCGGTCTGCTTTGATTACATCTACCTTTCTGGAAATGAACGTCCTTATTTTTAGCATCTTCGTCATTATCTCAGGGGCCACCTCAGGCTTCTGCAGCCCCAAGGATTTCCTCTTTAGGTTCTTGCACTTAGAGGTGGGAGGAGTAAAACATCAGCCCCAGAGACCAGAAAGCCTGAAATGGGAGCCGGGCTCACTCTGCAATTTTCTCCAGCCCCAGAGCCAAGTGGGGACGCCAAAATCCCAGGGCGTGCACCTGGTCAGGCAGAACATGTGAGGCAGAGGGGAAGGTTGCTGGGTGGTTAGTGCCAAAGATTTGGTCCTCAAAATCCCAGGTTTCCCTCGCTAGGTGACCTCAAGGAGGAAGTTGCCTTAGTCTCCTCCTTGGGAAGTCTCAAGTGTGAATGATGAATGTGAGGAAATTTGGTTTAAATAAGGAGCCACAGATCTGGCCATGGGTGATATTTAAAATATTGAACTTTGGGCACTAACGGGATCAGGATGGACCATGGTGGGGCCCTGGCGTGGGGGATCTTAGGGGTCCCCTGCTGTGCTGAGTGTTAACCCTTTAATTGCTGGATTAAGGGGAGGTTTGGGGGAGCCTGGGGGGGGCATCAGGGGGACCACGGGGACCTCAGTGCAGCGTCTCCATCCAGCGCGGGCGTATTTTAGTGTTTTAATGACTGGGTTAGCCATGCAGTACGTGCCGGCCCAGCTGAGGTAGCCGGGACTCGTCGTCCGCATGTGGGTGCTTTTCAAACACCTCCTTGCAGCCTCACTTCCTTGGGGGTGGCTGAGATCCAGGAGGCTGCCCTCCCTCCTCCCCAGCACATTTGAAATGGTGCATTGTGGTGCACCAGGCAGAGGGAAACGGAGGCTTCTGGAAAGAACCTTAGACTTGGATCAGGAGACCCGGCTTGCAGCCCCAGCTCTGCCTCCCCTTTCCAGGCCTCCGTTTCCCCATCTGTGCGATGAGGAGGTTGGTCTAGGTGGCCCCTAGGCCCCTTTTAGCTCTGAGATCCTGTGACTGTGTGATGGGGGGGTGTGTGTGCTTGCACACTTCTAGGAAGCATCAGCCCAGTGTTTGGGAATTTGTCATGTGTATTGAGGAGCTCCTGTTTGGGGTGAAGGGGGATGGGGGTCTCTTATCAGATCTTTGCCGGGTTCCTAGAATCCGGTGCTCAGCTGGAGAGAGACCTGCTTTATTCATGGCCTCCGATTCACAGACATGCAGATCTGTGGCCCTTAAAGGCCCGCTAGAGACTTATCCCAGGGGTGGTGGCCAGGACCCCTTTGAGAACCTCCACTCTGAACGATGCTTATTCACGCAAACACACAGCATCAGGAGGTTCGTGGACTCTCCCTGATGCCTATCCGAGCACCCCAAGTTCAGAACCTCTGATCTAGGCTTCACGGGTCTCAGAGAGGGAAAGCAACTTGCCCAAGTGCGCCCAGTAAGTTATGGCACAGCAACACCAGCATCTACCATCATGAAGACAGGGCCTCACCCCGCACTCCTGCCTCTGGCTGCCTCCCACCTCCCCCACCCAGGTGGGGTGCACACGGAGGGTTTCAGCAGCCCTCTCCAGCCTGCGCTGGTGATCGGGAAGCATAATTGTGGCAACAAATGTGGACATTTCCTTCCTCACTGGCAGGAGACAGGCAGCAGCCCGAGATAATGCAGTTCCAGCAGGGTGGCCTGGAGAGGCCGTCTCACCGGCTCGCTCTGCCTTTTTCCCTGTTCTCGCTGCTCCTACACATCCAGGCTGCCCGTTCCAGGCTGCGTGTTCTGGTTGGGCCGGCTGCTCCGGGGGTTATTTGTAGGATGTGGTACTTAACCCTCTCTCTCTCTCTGTGGGTCACAGAGGGTTTGTGACTTTCTAATAAAAACCACCCTGACATATGGACCTGTCTTCTGCTCTTTATCCCCTTGGAGCGGGGAGCTGGTGGTAAATGCAGACAAATCAGGAGTCGATGTGAAGACGATGAGAAGCAAACAGCACGGTTTATTTCTGTTGAGCGCTGTGGATGTAACCTGGGATAAAAATAAATCCGGGACCCAGTAGTGGTGGGCTGGAGCCAGCGAGCTTCAATTACTCAGCTGCCACCCAGGATGGAGATCCTTGACGTGCTGGAGAGTGAAGGAGGCACCACAGAAATAGCCTCCTCTCCTTCCTGCCCCCCCACCCCGCCTCGTCTGCCTCCTCAACCAGCCCTTCGAGGGGCTGTGGTGTGGGACTCTGGGAACAGCCAGACCCGAGTTCGAATTCTGACTCCAGTGCTTCCTTGCTGGATGACTTCAGGCAAGACTCTTAACCTCTCTAAGCCTGTTTCCTCAGTTAGTTATATTAAGGTAGTATGGTGTGGTGGCTAAGAGTGTGGGCTCTGGGGATAGACCTCTTAGGTTTAGATCCTGGTTCTAGTACTTTCCATTGTGTCAGTTTACCTCTCTTGGCCTCAATTTTCCATCTGTAAAGTGAGGATAATAAAGAAGATGTGGGAGTTTTAAGTTAATGCTTGCACGGTGCTTAGGACTGAGCTGGCCAGGAGTAAATAGCCAACACACGTTAGCAATGGGGACGATATTGATGATAGTGACAGTGAAATTACCCCTGGCTGAAACAGGAGTGGGGTGAGGTGGAGGAAGGTGGATCCTTCGGGCCAGCTGAGCAGCTTTGGGACCCAGGAGAGACGCCGTGCCTTGCAGACAGGAGGCTTCCCGTCCACTTATTCCCTCCGTGGGCTGCGTGCAGTTGCTGGAGGTCCCAGACCTCAGTTTCTCCATCTGTGAAATGGGCATAATGACCTTCTTTCCTTAAAGCTTATGAGGCCCCGAGGAGAGACAGCGGCTGTGAGGGTGGTGGGCAGGCTCTGGAGCGAGGGGCCCAGGAGGGGAAGCCCCGCTGAGCTGTGAGTCTTTGTTCCTCCAAATCCTGGGGAGGCTTTCGCTGAGTCATCCGCTCTCCAGCCCAGAGCCTGTGGATTTTTCCTAGGAGCCGAGCTTTCCCCCTCTTTCCTGCCATGGGGCATGCCCTGCCTTCCACGGCGCTCCTGCACAGGGCTCCCGAGGGGCTGCAAGGCCAGCTCCTCCAAGGCCACGGCTGTGCTGTCTTCATTTTTGGAGTCGAGGTTAGCACACAGCAGGGGCTCAGCAATGACTTGCATGAATGAATGAATGAACGAATGAAACCTCAAGTGATGGACTAGTGGATGGGTCAGTTTGGGGGAGGTGTCTTTGGACTAGGGTCCAGCCAGAGACCAGTATGCAGTCGGCACTTAATTAGCGTTTGTTGATTATGATGTGTCACTGGTGAAGAGTTTGGAAGGCTTTCATCTCGAATCTGCTACACGCTAAGGACAGGCCTCTCTCTCCTCCTGCCAGAGCATCCACTGACGTTTATTCACGTGTTGCACACTTATTGAGTACTTATGGTATGCCTGGCACCATGGTGGGGATTGGGAATAAAATGGTGACAAAGACACAGTCCCTGGGGATTTAGATAAAGTAAGTCACTGCGTACAAAATGTGATCTTTTGGGGGGTGGTGCCAAGAGGGCTTCCTTAGTCGCCCTTTTTAGGGTGTCTTCACTCAGCCCACGGCTCTCTGAAATGCCGTCATTAAAATTTCGTTCCTTATCTTAAGGCTTTGCTCTTGGACGAAGAGCAGATGCTCTGGGGTGGGATGAGGCATCCGGCCTTCTTGGGCATTTCCCTTCGATGAAGAGGAGCTGTGAAATCCTCTGTGAAGAGTGAGGGGAGAGCCTTTCCGGAGCGGGGCGTGGAGTCTGCGCATGCAAAGCTTGCGGGTGGAAGAGAGGGCGGAAGGCAGAGAAAGGCAGCCGTGGCTGGACTCACATCCTGCTGGGGGCTGAAAAGCTCTCGGTGCCCTAAGGAACCCAAGGCAAATTCTTGGGTTGTACCCTCGACCTTCTCCCTCTGAAGCTCTGAGTGCGGGGCCCTGGGACCCGTGTTTTCACAAGCCTCCGCTGCTAAAGGAGTTTTTTTGAAATGTGAAAACACTTTTACAGCTGTTAGTTA